CAATCTACCCAGACCCGCGTGAAGGAACCCCCACTGCGGATCTACCCCATCGTCTCCCCAAGTCCCCGCCAAGGACGTTCAAGCTCACCCGCTGCGCATCTCGTGTCAACGAGAGCGCAGATCCAGCCCGACGACGGGTACACAAGGGGAGACACCCAGCAACCTACGGTTATCGGAGTACTCCCTCCGTTAGTCGGTGTCTGGGCGCAGTGTGTGAGTGTGGGATCCCTGATAATTCCAGCAGATCCACCCACCACATCAGCATTTCTCCACTAGCCGCCTTGCTGGATGTTGCCGCCAACATTGCTTCGTTGTTTTTTGCTGCGGACTCTCGCTTAGAGTCTACAGCCGTGTCGGTGGACCCCGTTTTCGCTTGCTCCAACTCCTGGATGTAGTTCATGCTCAAAGAAATCTGCCGAAGTGATGTCGGATGAGGTGTCAGATGTGTCCGGATCGTCGGATTCTTCGCTTTCGTCAGGGCTGGTAGTAGAATCAGCATCGACAGTCTCCAATCCACTTCGAACAATGTCCTTCCAGGTCTTCAAGGCTGCGACGAAAGCTGGGGTAGCCAAACCTGCTAGGTGCTCCATCACAGACTCGAGCACAGCTTTAGCATAGCAATATTTCTCTTCTAATAAGAGAACCACAACGTTGGCACGCTCACGCCGATACATCTTGACGTAAATAACAACACGTTGCTTTTGACGGTGGCGTTCGACCTTCTCTGCGGTTTCGACATCACGCTCATAGTGGGGTGCTGGCTGTGTTGCTCTTTGTGTTGCTTCTGTTGCACCTTATGTTGCTTCGGGCTCATCCAGGAAGACCTCGCTTTGGGTCAGACCGTCAGGAATCTCCAGCTTCTTTCATGGACGCTTGAACTGCTTGTAGCGCTCCGACACCATCTCGAAGGTCTTTCTCCAGCTCGGACATTGCAAATCACACTTGTACTAGATCGAAGTTTTAGCCAATCGCGACACGAAAATTAGGGGCGCATATGTATTTCGTTCACAGGGAGAATGTCATAATGTATTTTCCAACTTATTGACTTTCAGCATTATTTATTTTCCAACATACGCTCCCTAAATATAAATAGTATTTTAGGAAGCACTGTGCGTACTGATTCATACCAGTATCGTCGGTAGCACACCGTTTCCATCTGCCCATGCATGTAAACCTTTTGGAGGACCCAGTGCGGTGCCGGAGTCGTACCCGTTTCAAGGAAATCTACCAGTTAGATGTCAAGAGGGGTCAACGTTTGACTTGATATTCCACAAATATATTCCTATTTGGTCTGCGATAACAGCACCAACGTTGCTTCCTATCCCAGTGTAAGCATGTGTTGGACAAAATATCTGCAAACGGCAATAACTTACTTAACCCTATCGTTAACGCCATACATTTCTGTTTGAAGGGACACCATACAAACTTTAAGTAAAACGGGGTAAAATGATGCATGAGGTATCATTTTGCTGTAGTAGGTTTTCGAGGCCAACAGATCAAAAGTATACGTGATGGGAGGTTTGAAGCGACCTTTCGATCAAAAACATACATGAGACATCATTTTACTGCTTCTCTGTGATTCGCTGCGAATCGACAAAAGTATCAGTGGAAGCAGTACCGTGAGAACAGCACCCTAACAAAATTTCAGTAAGAGCAGTACCGTGGATCACAGCGCCCTCTTGTGGATTATGTTGGGCTTTTCCTAGTTGTGAAGCGGCGGCGCCGTGGTCTCCGACGCGACGGTGGCGACTATGGCGGCTGTCCTGGACCTGGCCGGAGCGTCTCCGCCTGCGTCGACAAGCACGCGATGACTGCGGGCGTCTCGGGCAGCGGGCGCAATGGCTACGGGAGCGCCGCCAGCACCGTCAACAGCATGGTCTTGGAGGCTTCCGCGGCGGCCGTGGACGTGTTGGACGTGATCGGGGGCGTCTCCGCTGGCGTGGTCACGAACGCGACGGTGGCATTCGGCTCGGGCAGCAAGCGTAACGACAGCGGCAGTCCGCACGCAGGTTGCCGCCGGTAGTAGCGGCAGCGGCGTCGCCAGCGACATCGACAGAAGGTCTCGTACACGATGGAGGTGACGGTGGTCTTGGTAGATGTGGGCAGGGGCTTGCCGGCATGGGTATGCGTGCTGGCGCAACGGATCACCGTATTCAGACAGCTTTGGGTTTCGCTAGAATGATCAATTCACACTAGAAGAAACATTACTTGAGAGATTACATTCAACATAATTGCATATTGCTCTGTTACTAGGGGGAGGACATAGTAGCTTCAGTAACGTGCTTTCGCCTTGGAGCGTCCTGCTCCGCGAATCAACTGGATATCACCCATGATAGCGGGGAGGTCAAAACCAGCGCGGCCTTAGAGCTTGTGGTGCCAAGTCGAGAGGTTGCTCTTGAAGCCATTGGGGCGAGCGGTAGTATGCGCGCTTCTCGCAAGAGCATGTCCAGTGAGCTTGATCCTTGAGTTGGTCCGCCAGCATATCGACTATGTCCATAGCTGTGGCTAGATCGGCAACTACGTTGTAGTGTTTCTGCAAGTCAAGGCCTTCCTTATAATGGTTCATGAGGGTGTCTTGTGGCGTGGAAGGTTCCGCCTCCATCGCGATAAAGCGCTCGATATGTTCGTCTTGCTCCTCGCGATACCGCAACAAGTTGGAGTTTATAAATTTTAGACGTGCCCGAGTTTGCGGTCGCGTGATCTACATTTTCATATCGAATACAGACATAGATATCATTGCCCGTAACCAGCCACGATACAACATTTTGGCTTACCTCAGACAGCTCCATGCACGTCTCCAGCCAGCGCATCATCCAGATAAAGTTGTGCGCACGGTCATTTTCACCGCGATAAATCGCCACGTAGAGGTCGTTCATCTCTTTCACGGGCAGTGCAATTATGAAGTCGTCTATGTCGATCGACGTGCCACATCTCGCTTCGGTTCTCTACAGGTAGGCACTGATTAGCTTTAGCCAAACGTTATTGCGTAGCTACACTAACTTACCCGCTCTCGCCCAGAAGGGGTCACAAATACTGGATACAGATTGTCGAACTCCAGTTGCTCACCGGCGCTACACAAAGCCAAAGACTATATATGCGATGAGCATCAGCACGGCCGAAACAATGTCATCACTACCATTTCAAGCGTCTTGGACGATCCATAAATTCGCCTTCCATCGCTTGCATGCGTCTTCGTTGGTCCTGGCAACTACCCATACATAGCCGTTCGTATTAGCACTAGCATAACAACACGATGCCGAAACAGCCAAAACACGTATCCCTACTTTATCCGCGTCCTTCCTGCGATCAACCATCTTTCCACTTGAGCGCAGAATCTAGAATGATAAAGTACTAGAGATCAGCGTTGTTGGGTGGATATATTGGACCGAATATATTGTTATTTGTATGGCCATGTTCGAATTGTTCAAAGGGACCGAACGTACTAGGCTTTGTATGGGGTGGTTCGACTCATCGTTGTATGTGATGTTAGTATGGTGGAGTTTGAACCCACCGGTGCACGTTCAATGCCCGCCATGCGGAATGCAGCGTAGCTGTGCTGACAAGGTACCGTGCAAAATGCATCGGATATCGAGTGCGGAATGAATACAGTGTAATTACGCAGAGTCATGAATAGTACGAGTACTCAAAGCGTTCAACGGTAACATACGGTACTTAGATTTACTCCAGGCATATTGCTACCAAATGTAAGTGCTGTAGCGGCTTCGGCATCGTCTCTAGAGTTACGTTGACCCATGCAAGCCCCATAGTGACGGTCCGAACCACGGTACACGGCGACAGTGGTGACGCCCATCGTAGATACACTGCTGCCAAGTGCCAATGCTGCCTACGCGTCCCTGTCGATGGGCAAATTGGGCGCTTGCGACGTTGTCGTCATGGTGACTTCAGGCTCCATCTTGACCCCCGATGGGACTCGAACGCATCATTTCTAGCAGCAGCCTCTCTTGATCTTTGTCGCCGGTGGCACCCCGCTCCCTCCTGAGGCATCTACGTGCGGTTATCCGTCGATGAGGATCGCTGGAAGCGAAAAAGGGCGGGAGAACGCCGTCCACCTGCAGGTCTAGTGGGCAGACGTCCATTGCCGCCTCCGACGCTCCATTTCGGGGTCCTGTAGCGGAATCTCGGCGTCTCGCAGCTGAACGTGGTTGACAGCCACACCCGGCGGCAATGCCGTGAGGAGAGTCGGGGGCTACGGGACCAACGACACCATCCCAGCGCCAGTTCTAGTAGCACTGCGTTATCGACAACAAATGCGCTGTTGCGGCGGTTGTGCGGGACGTGGTCGTCGGGTGGATACACGACGGACAGCGAGTCCAACTTCATGCCCGGTGCGTCCCGAGGTCAGCGCGTCTAGTAGCACAGGCGGTCAGCAGCAGCAGATGCGTCGACGCCCAGGCGCTGAGCGTGTGACGACTCTAACGACGCTGGACTTGGTGAGTGAGGGGCGAACTGGCAGGCTGGACTTGACCGCAGCGTGCACAGTATCACGGGCAGCCACGCGCCGTAAACGATGGGTACGGCCAGCACATGTGTACCACCGTCGTCCGAGGCGTGGAAACCGGAAGAACGGAGCGTGGGCAGCCAGGGACACTTGGGATCGAGCTTGCAAAATCGGAAATGAGCTCCGATGCGAGAAGGTCATTTTGATTCGGAGCAAGCCGAGCAAGCCGACCAAACAACAGTGGATCGATTTGAACTAATTCCGCCAATCACACTTCTTGTTGAACTTTGGCAGCCAATCACTGTCATCGATTTTTCGGAGACATGTTTTGATTGGTCAAAGCGAAGACATGGGAAAAAATGTCAGCGCGGGAAAGCTTGAAAAGATCAACCAAAGCAAAATGGGCACCAAAAAGGCGCGCCTTTACATGTTGTGTAAACCACTGCAAATACCGATAGCCTATTTATGTAACATTATGTATAGCGACCGCTCTACCCGTTCTCCCTAGCCGAAACGTCCTACCATCGTCATTCCCCCAACCATGGTCTTGGTGGACCTGGTCGGAGGCGTCTCCGCCATCGGCGACACGGACACGGACGCGATGGTGGCGGGCGACTCGGGCAGTAAGCACAACGGCGGCCGCAGCGCCGTGTGTGCTGTCAACAGCATGGTCTCGGAGGCTTCCGCGGCGACCGTGACCGTGTTGGACATGATCGGGGGCGTCTCTGCTGGCATGGTCAAGAACGCGACGGTGGCATTCGGCGCGGTTGATGAGGCTAATAGGGGTGTCTTCGTGTTGGCTGGGCAGCGCCACGAGAGCGTTTATAGCAGTGGCATCGATAGCCGGGCTTAGTTGCCTTGCTTGCGGTAGGAGCGTCTTGAATCTGGTGTTGAATACATTGGTGGGGATGGGACCTTTGTAGGTTATCAGGCGAAGAAGTATGAGACCAAATATCTTATGGTATGTATGGCATTATAGATTTATAGATCTCGTGGCAACCCGATGGCAGACTTCTCGGACGAAGAGGACTTGCTGCTTTATCGGCTGGCAAAGGAGCAGGTTGATGCAGGCCGCCGAATTAACTGGCGGACTGTCTGGTTGGGGATGGCATACTGCGGGAAGACAGTTTCAGCAATACTGGCAGTCATTCCAACGCTTACAATCGCCGACACTTTTGTTGACTTTGGATCTGGGATCGGCAACGTGGTTGCACAAGTGGCATTGGAGACTTCTGTTGGATGCATCGGGATTGAGTTCCAGGACAACTTAGCAAACATGTCCAAGCTGCTAATTCGTGGCGCACGCGTGGATTTCCCAAATTTATCCAAGGTCCCGATTCACGAGGCCGACCTCAGAGCGATGAGCTCAGCCGTACGCGAGGATATTGACGGGTGCAGTGTTTTATTTGCGAACAATATCGTTTTCGAGCCTACAAGTTTTGCGGCGCTGGAGGACTTTGCATCTTCAGCAGCAGGTTTGGTCCACGTCGTTGTCATGGCAACAATTTGCGGCCGGCACCGCCCAACCTGCCCGCGCAACTTCTGCTCTGTCTGGACGCTCCGACGGCGTATCGACGTTCAAGTGTCTTGGTCTTCCCAGCTTCATCATGCATACTGGTACACCAGGGTTGTAGAGCCCTACATCTAAGTACCTCACGCAGAATGGAAAGGGACATTCAATATACTTCGTTTGTCAGACTTGTTCATCCAACTGTTCATTACCTGTCGGGCCAATAACATATATCAGCCATTGTACACATCTACATCAACGTCTTGCACGGACATCGTAGATCTGACCGCATCCACCAAGGTCACGGTCACCTCCATCGCGCCTGAAAACCTGCTGTCGATGTCGCTGGCGGCGCTGCTGCCGCTACTACCGGCGGCGACCTGTGTGCGGCTGCCGCTGGCGTTGTGCTCGATGATCGCGTCCGTGCCCCTGGGGACACAATAGTGCTGATAGATATACTACAGAAGACACAATAGCGTGGGGTTTTACCTATCCCTCTTAGCTGTATGATTGGTCATAAACGGCGAGGAAACTGCCGTTGCTCAGCAAATTGCTGTTTCAGTTATCCTGCTTCTACTATGACCAAAGTAAAAAGATACTTGATGTATCATTCTGGTAACGATAGGGTTAAGTACTATGTTTACTACTCCTATTTTTCTTTTTACCAAGTGGATACATCAATTCTGTGAATGGGTTAGAATGACCATTTAACTAGAATTACGTACAGGGGGCCGAAAAAAGGGAAATCACCGGCTTTAGCATCATTTTGCCCGTTATCATGGTTACAAGAATACCCTTCAATTCCGACGCGAAGCGACGTCTCATTCGTTAAAGACAGTAAAGCCAGGATTCCGAATTAGCGTGAGGGGAAATCTGAGGTTACTACGGCGACCCTCCAAAAAGCGCTACAACAGCAAAAGTTGCTTTCCATAAGCTCCTATATAAGCCCCTATTTCACGAAAATACTTGTTAGATTTTGTTGGCTCGTAAAAGCCTCGTCATACGAAGTTGAGCTTATTCTGACCTGAAATAATACCTCAATAGTAGCCCCTCGTAGGTACTACATATATCAAGAAGTTTGTATGGAAATAGCCCGAACCCTATATAACGATTGTCGGCCGCCTTGAGACATTGTTTCGGTCTGAGGATGTTGAATCTCTGTATTGGGAATTTGTACGGGCCGTCACCAGAAGCAACTTAAGTGTTATTTGATCAGTCAGGGCGTGCCAGTACCAAGATTACATTTTACTATAAAAGATCATGATCAGCATTTTTTGTTGATCTGGACGAAACTAGGGCGACGCTAAGGCTGGGATAGCAATTTTACGGGGGCTGCCAGGGCTTTCACGACAGCAGCAGTATTATTACGACTATAATATCAAGCTGCGCGAGCGCAACTTCAAAGTTTAACTAGCCACCGCCTCTTTTGCCTAGCAAGTAAGAAGATCAGCTATTAGCCTCGTGACCATACCTTTATGAGAAAACCCGGAGCGTTATAAGCGCTTAGTATTATAGTTAATGCTGCGTTTTGTTTTCTTTGGTTCATTTTTCATTTCTTAACGCTGAAATAGGCCACAACTTCTATTATACAGCATCCCAGCTGCAGCATTGCCAAACTTTACGGTTAACGCATTAGGTTTCCCGACGTTCGAGTGGGCCAGTAATGTAGTCGTGCTGAAATTTTTAAATTCAAATTAGAAGCCCTTAAAAGGGCTTCTAACACTCTCAGGGCTATACTACATACATAGATTAAGTGTATCCTGCGTTGTGGGGTCTTCCTCGTTGTGGAGAGATTGGTGCCGGGTGTAGGTTGCGGTTGTAACGGGGTTACACGAGAGTTACCCGAAGGGTTACGAAGTGGGTACACACTGTCTAACCTAAATCAGTAGAAAAATCAGTACATGGCTTCAGAGTCACTGACTATGCATATGACTAGGGTTCACTATGCTAGATAGTGAACCGGATACATTTACACCGTAGGCGGCTTTGCCGCAATAAAGGGAAATACATTCAGTTTGAGATTTACACTGAAGAGTCTAGGGTTGACTCTTGGAGTCCGTAGGGTGTACGGACTCGTACGTTCTGGTATTAGAACGGGCGATCTTAAGCTGAGACTCTGCGAGTCTGTTAAGCTTCCTCTGACGCAAAGCTACGGCAGCCCCGCTGCACTTGGTAGCACTTGACCGCCAGGGCCCGCGCCGTTGCCGCAGCGAGCGCCGCCCCGGGCGCTACCGGATCGGGCAGCCTGCCGGCCACCTGAGTCTGTATAGACTGACCCTCTGTGGAGAATGGAGCAGTTCGCTCACTTGCCCCCGAACCAGCAGGATGCGCTTAAAAAGCTTATATCCATGCTGGATCCGGAGGGCGTGACGCAACTTGCGCAGCAAGGCCCCTACGCGGTGAACGCGCGTCTCGAGGCGTTTTCAAGCTACGAGAATGCTCTTCTAGAGCACCTCCAGCAAAGGATGGCGACTGCCGCGGCGCCCCAAGCGCCCCCTGCGTCGTCCGACGCGGGAACAAGACCCATGCCGCTCATGTTGAGCGTGAAGACCTTCGAAGGCAAGGAGGGTGAAAGCTTGATGCTTTGGACCCGTGAGGTTGATATGGCTATGAGCTCAGCTCTACTCCGGGCGGAGTCGCAGCGAGTGGCACTAGCAATCTCGAAGCTCCGTGGGCGAGCGAGAGAGTGGGCACTAACGTCCGGGACGTCAGTCGAGGTGGCCTTCCCGACGTGGGATCAGCTGAAACAGCAATTGCCCCGAGTGTTTACTCTGCCTAACGAGGCGTATCGCGTGCGCTCACGCTTCCTGGCGACCAGGCAGAGCAAGATGGAGTTGAAGGACTATGTCCAAGAGTTGAGAACTCTCATTGCTGGCATGTCTGCGGACCCCCTGCCGGAAGCAGTCACCGTTACGGTGTTCATGGAGGGCCTCCGCACTGGCGTTGTCAGGACGGAGGTATTCCGAACTCACCCGAGCTCTTTTGAAGAGGCTGTGAGCGTCCCATTAAATGCGGAACACAGCTTTAAGTCGTCGAGACTTGGGTGGAATGCGTCTTACGCTAGCGCGCCGAGTGGTCCGGAACCCATGGACCACAACTATGCTGAAGATGAACAAGCCGAGCTTCGTGCTGCTGAGCAGTGTCGTGGTATCGGCAGACGCTTCATCTGTGGTGACATCCGTCACCTTCGTGCTGGGTGTCCGCTGCGCCATCAGCGCCAGGCTTCGTCAAGCCGCTCTTCGAGTTCGAGCCAGGGTTCTGGTTTGTCTCGGGGAAACGAGAAGTCCCAGTAGGCACGGGGCGGCGTACTGGGGAAGAACTAAGTTCTATTGAGCCTCGGCAAGGTGGAGGTCGACAGGACTTAGCCCCGAAGAGAGCCGTACTCTCTAACACGGAACGTGAATGCAAGCTGGGCTTGCTAGTTGTCCAAGCTTGGGTGAAGGGCTTCACGAAGCCATGGACGATTTTGATCGATTCGGGAGCGTCGGGTAACTACGCCCGACGTTCTACGATGGACGGAAGTCAGCTTTATGCTGAGGCGCTGGTAGCGCGCGGGAGTGACATCGTCACTGTTCGTCTCGCGACGGGCCTAAGGTCCCTGTGGACATGGGCGTGAAGTTTTTGGATTTTGATAGCGTGAAACGCTGTCCGGTCTTAGACCTCGATTCGAGATATGATCTCATCCTTGCTATGGCGTGGCTGGAACGCCACGAGCCTTGGATCGATTGGAGGTCGAAGACCCTTGCTGCCACGCACTTCTCTCCTGGCGGAGCATTGGCTAGTCATGAACCCACCTCTGCTAGGAAGCAGAAGCTTTCTGGCGCGAGCACTGGACCGAGTCGGTCAATGTGCTGGACATCGGAGTTTCCGAGTTGGTGGACACTGCGTGTGTCGAGAACGAGCGTTTCGAGCGTGGCTCGCGGACGGCAGGTGGAGCGGCACGAATTCCGCTGAGCGGGTGTGCGTCTGAGGGCGACGCCCTGCTGTATTCAAGAGAAGACAAGGTCGGCATGAAGCCGAGGAGCCATGGGCGCCGCCCGGCTGTTGAAGGATGTGGAGCGGCACTAATTCCGCTGAGCGGGCGTGCGTCTGAGGGCGACGCCCTGCTGCCTGCCAGCGACGGCGCGGTCGGCACGATGCCGAAGAACAAGGGGCTTTGCCCGGATGAAGATCGTGAAGTGGCACGTAATCCACTGAGTGGAGGCTGCGGATCGTGCAGCTCTTCGCTGAGTGTCGGTAAAGACACTGGAGCTCCCTTGGAGCTGAACGAGGTAGTGACACCTGGCGTCAAGACGCACGCGAAATCACGGAGCTCTTCAGGGCGGGCGGTGTCCATGAAGAGG